CCCTAGGGGAAAGGATCCATTGGCCCACATTGAGCCATGTCCCTGTTTGTCCCTCCATGCCCACTGTGCCTCCCAGGACTAGATAAGGTTGATATTGTCCTACATCTTCCAGAGGCTGCCTGTATCCACAAACTCACCTCAACTTCCCATGCCTGTCCATACCTACACACAACTAATGTGGTGATTTTATCTGTGGCTTGCATCTGTCATGTCCCCAGTATCAATGTTTTTTTTCTCCTGCTCTCACCTCCAGATTGCTAACCGATCCTGCAAGGACACTGTCCCCCGCCCTCTTCCCTGCCTCTGCTATGGACACTTCTGCTTTCAGCCTCCCCACGACGGCAGTGTCAGAGGAGGGGAATGCCTCTGGCAGCTGGGCAGCCTTCACCACCCCCAACAGCTCCACCACTGCCAGCCCTGGTGTGGTTGTCAGCGGTGTCCTCATCCCCCTGGTCTACCTCATTGTCTGTGTGGTGGGGCTGGCTGGGAATTCTCTGGTCATTTACGTGGTCCTGCGGCACTCTGTGAGCGAGTCGGTGACCAACGTCTACATCTTGAACCTGGCCCTAGCTGATGAGCTCTTCATGCTGGGCCTGCCATTCCTGGCTGCACAAAATGCCCTGTCCTACTGGCCGTTCGGGTCTTTCATGTGCCGCCTGGTGATGGCTGTGGATGCCATCAACCAGTTCACCAGCATCTTCTGCCTGACGGTGATGAGTGTTGATCGCTACCTGGCCGTGGTCCACCCAGGGAAGTCCTCCAAATGGCGGACAGCACGGGTGGCCAAGGCTGTGAGTGCAACTGTGTGGGTGCTGTCTTCTGTAGTGGTGCTGCCCGTGGTCGTCTTCTCAGATGTCCCTTTAGGGATGAGCACATGCCACATCCAGTGGCCAGAGCCTGCCTCGGTGTGGAGAGCTGGCTTCATTGTCTACACTGCCACCCTGGGCTTCTTTGGGCCACTCCTGGTGATTTGTCTCTGCTATCTTCTTATCGTTGTGAAGGTTCGTTCCTCTGGCAGGCGGGTGAGGGCTCTGTCCTCCAAGCACAAGCTTTCAGAGCGCAGAGTGACCCGCATGGTGGTGGCTGTTGTGGCTGTCTTCGTCCTTTGCTGGCTCCCCTTCTATGTCCTCAACATAATCAATGTTGTCTGCCCACTGCCAGAGGAGCCGTCCCTCTTTGGTGTCTACTTCCTCGTGGTGGTCCTGCCATATGCCAACAGCTGTGCCAATCCTATCATCTATGGCTTCCTTTCCTACCGCTTCAAGCAGGGCTTCCGGAGGGCCATCCTCAGGCCGTCCCGCCGAGTCCAGAGCCAGGAGGTGCCAGCATGTCCTGCAGAGAAGACTGATGATGAAGGGGAAGAGGGCGAGATCAGCAAGATCACCCAGAATGGTAATGACAGGCAGGAGCACCCTCTAAGCAGTGGGGAAGGAGAAAGCAATGAGCAAAAACCACTCCCTGAGGAGCCTGTGGGATGCGAAAAGAGCAACAAGTTGCATGTCAGTTATTTATGATGAAAGGGATGGTGCAGGGGAAAGAGACATTGGGACATGGGATCCCCTTCACCCTCTGTGCTTTTCCAGCTCAAAGGCAATGGGAGACGTTGGTACAAAGGAATATTAAAGTCCAAGACTCTGCTTAAAGATGAAGAGGGCTCCATGAACTTGTGGAAAAAGCAAGGCATTGTTCTTGGCTTTGGAAGGGACACCTGGGGTTTATGTGGTACCAGGTAAAGGAAAGACTGCATCCAGGGAGAGCTGAAGAGATGATGGGCACTGACAGTATGGAGAGAGCAAGGTCAGCCCTAGATTGCATGATCCATCCTTAGATCACCCAGCTATGAAGGGCATCAGCTGCCATCTGACTGTGGCACCTCAAGGAAGTCCTCAAATGGCATATACAACAAATAGGCAACCCAGTGCCTTGATTATCTTCCTTATAAACATGAGAAGCGGTTTACCCTAAAAGAAAAACAGGAAGGAAAAATGTCTGCAGCGAAGACATACCAGCCAGTTGCATGAATGGCTGACCCTTCTGTAGCTCTCCAGTAAGTCTTGGGGACAACTTTCCTACCCATGCTGGTCGTGGCTGGAGACCACTCTGACTGCTCAAAGCCTCCTCTTTCTTTCCAGGGCTCTCATGGACTCTGGGCAGGCTGACAAGACTTACCTGGGAGAGCAAACGGGACATTTCTTTCCTGCATCTCGCACTCTTCAGGGTTTTCCTTGTGCCTCTGCACCCTGGTGGAAAGTGTAACAAGAGTAGAGAAGAAGACAACGAGGCATGGGTTGGAGGCAGGGTTTCTTACAAGCTGAAATGCCCTTTCCCTTTTCTTCTCCCTAAGCCTTATTATAAATAAACAAAAAGCCTTTGGACTTAAAAGGCCAACTGGGCAGAACCATTCTGTGTGTTTAGGGGAAGGGGGTGCTATAGATTTGGCTCTCCTGAGAATACACAATGTCTTTGAGATGAGTTGATCTCTGTGTGGAGTAACATTTGGCTGGTACAGGAGACCAAGGCATGTATCAGTATGGGATGGGGGCAGGGAGCAGAGGGAGGTCAGGGGATCTCCAGTGTGTGAGAGCTATGATTGCAGGAGTCTGGGCAATACTAGGAACTGATTCGTCTTGTGGGAAATGGTAGAGTATTTGGCTCAGGAGGGAGAAGAAATTATGTGTCTGCATGTGTACAAAGGTGGTTGTATGCAAAAGTTTGATCACTGGACTGTACGTGTATGAGAATGGCTGAACAGGATCAGAGATCGAGGAGTCAGAGCTGGTGGGAGACGTGCGTGGGTTGGGCACTGATGCTAATCTGTGTGTGGCTGTGGGGTGTGTATAAATGTGTACAGATGTACATAAGGGGGTATGCATGTGTATAATTGTATACAAACACAGGTGAGGAAGTGTGTTTATGTAATTGTGGGATGTTTAAGTGTAGACACGGTTGTGTAGGCACGCAAATATATATGGAAATGTGTGCGCACATGCTTGGGTAAGAGTGTGAGAGTATGTGTGTTGCTATGAGTGTTGGATGGGTGCTTGCTTCTGTGCATCGGTTGTTGGAGGGAAGTTGTGGGTGGGCCTGTCTGAGTGTGCAGGCTAGAGGAGCAGCAATGTACGAGGGTGGGTGGGATGAAGGTCTCTCCACTTTGGCTTCATTCCTGCAGGCTCTGCTAAACGTCTGTCCCCACACCTTGAACTTCTCCATGAATGCTGTTGCTAAGCTACAGCCACCAAGACGACTCTCATACCAGAGCCCTTGGTTATACCTGGGCACTTTTCTCCACAAATAATTTTGAGAAATGGGAAGAAGGGACCCACCAGGGGGAGACATGCCTCCCCTGAGGTCAGGAGATGTTGGAGGAGGCAGTCTGTGGAGGGTCAGTGACAAGAGCTGGCTGGGTAATGGAAAGATGTCTCACAGGTCACTTGAGGGAAGGCATGAGATGTGAAGGGATGGCATGGGGTCAGGTGTGCTGGCACAGAAGGCAAAAGCCCTGGACTGGGAAGTAGAACAAGCTGCAGCACCTGAGGATGACGGGAACAGAACCGCTTTATGAGGAAGCAAGAGACAAGGTCACCCAAAGGCGATGTGAGAAGAAGTGAAGGCCTGGCAGGCATCAGGGGAACTGCAGTGCAGGGCACCCGAGTTCGGGAAAGGACCGTCGCAGGGCGTCAGGTGAGGAGACGTGTCCTAGCCAGGCCAGAGAGCAGAGGAAGGGTGGGAAGGGACTGCAAACATGACCAAGCAAAAGACATTCAGCTGTGCTCTCAGCCACTGGTACAGCTGTCACCTCTCTATGGAGAAAGATCATCTGTATGAATCCTCCATCCTCTTCTTTCCTCTTTGAGCCTGGGATGCTGGTGCCAAGCTGTCCATGCCTGTAGGCTCAGCCTCGGGAGCTGAGCTACCAGTGATACCACACAGCTATTGCTTAGCTCCTCTTACAAAAGTGCGCTTGCTCCCCTGAGCGTGGGCAGTCAGACACCCAGGAGTGCAGGCTCCACTCATGGGGAAAAGAAAGTGCTTGGTAGCCAGTTTCTATCCTCTGCTACCTCTTCACATCTCCTCCTCCTTCCATCCATGCACCAGCTGCCCACACTGTGGGCCCCAGTGAGAAAAGCAGCCAAACTGTTCATGGGCATGGGATACACAGTCTGTTGGACTAAAAAAGCCTCTTTTTTTTTTTTTTTTTTTTTTGCCTGGGGAGCTCCCACAGCATCCATTGGATGAAACACAACCAAGAAATCCTAGCAGAAAGATGAACTGCCAAAGCTCCTGCCTCTATACGGGGCAACAAACAGTAGGAAGATTAAAAGGCCTGGCTACCAAGCGGTCAGATAGATGGACAACACAGCACTTTAAATGGGGGTCTGTGTTGCTCCTCTTGCAGTGAGGAGCAGGGCAAGATGAATGCTGGGCACCGCTGGCACAGCAATCACTGCAGGACAGAGGAGAAATGGTATTAGCTGAGGAGCATATAGCGCTGTTTATGGTTGATGACCAGGCACCGAAGAAGGCATGTGACAGTGAATGAGGACCTTGCAGGAGGCAGCTCAGATGGGTGGGGGGCAGATATAGGAAGGGTTTCCTTCTCCATAGATTGGCTGCCCAGCTGCCATGGGGAGATGGGGGAGTTCCCTGGCTGCCAACATGCCTAACAAAGACGCCCTCCTTCACCAATGAATTGAGCTGAGACTTCATTTCACACGCCTTTGCAACTCCATCTGCTGCAAGTCGCCACTCAAGAAACTCCACCAACTGGTTGGCTTCTTAAAATACCTGTATCTCTGAAGAGCCCAAGCACTGCAATGCCAGCACCAAGCAAGTGTGCCAAGGAGACATCATTTTGATACGTGGAGTCTGAGCCCACTAGCAAGACAGCTCTGCAGGGGAGCCTGCTGGGGAAAAACAAAATGTGTTCCAGGGAGACCTGCAAAAAACTGGGGTTCTTTAGTTTAAACAGGAGTTTAAAAGAAAAGAGTCACAAGCATCATATTTTTCTGTCTTGTGTTTTCTTCTCCCCCCTACGCCACATCCTGTTTTTCAGTGACAAATTGGGGAAAAAAATGGAGATGAACCGAAAATAAGACTGGAGGAGGGAAAAGAAAAGGTATTTTTTGTCCAAAATTCATGAGGAGAAAAGGAACGCTACAAAATTCTGCAAACTATCACCATTGATTAAAAGGCTATTTTTCATAGGAACAGACGTTTGGAATCACAGACGGTAACCTCACTGCCTCCTGACCCCTGCCTCTCTCCTCAGCTCTGCCTCCCTCCTGGTGAACCCCCAGCTTTTCCTGTGGTAATAGCATTAATCTGACTGCCCTTGTGATCCCTTTCCCTCTCCTGACGATGGTGCAGTTGACTCTGGACAACCCAGAGGCCACGGAGACCGTGCGCAGTGGCTAAGTGAAATTCTGGCCATGTTCAGGGGGTTTTGTTCCAGTCAGATGTGGAAATGGATTTTTCTATTCTGGGTGCAGAGACACAGAGATAAGGGCTCCATCAAGCCCTGTGCTGCACAAAAGGTTTTATTCTCATCACGTAGAGATTGGAGCTGCAAGACTAGAAAGGGCTGCAATGATTTCAGCAGCATTGTGCAATGCCTTTTCCCAGCAAACATTTGATCATAGATGGGGTGTTAAAGACCCGGCGAGCCCATTCTGCCAGCTGCTCAGAGAGTTCATATGCACACGTCAGAGTGCACAAGAGCAGATGTAGAGGCATATGTATGTGATGTATATACATGCATACAAATGAGTATTCATGTGATTGCATGCCTGTATGTGTGGGTACACGTGACTGTGTGAATGTGTATAAATATATATACATATTCACGTCTGTGGGTGCTTTGATTCAAGTATGTCTATGTGTGCATGAGACCGTATGTGGCCACCCACACAGACGCACACATACCGAGACTTGCCGCACCTCTTGGCCTAAGCATGAACACAAGAACACAGCATACACACCTTTATGCAGACAGCCCAGGCATGAGCTAAAACTGGGAGGTGACAACTGGACCTTGCAAATGACCCTCCCCACACGTGGACCCACCATACCTGCACACCCAAGCACATTTCTGCCAGCCCAACAGTGGCCCGAGGCAGCTTCGGACCCACTCAGTGTGACCCTTTTGCTCTGCAGTGGATCTTCAGGAGAGAAACTGGAAGGGCAGTGAATGGCGATCGGGGAGGGGCTCCAGCATGGAGAGGTGAGGGTGTGTTTCCAGGCTGTTACTAACACAGCCCACACTTAATGTAATTTGAAGCTGTTGTTAGGGAACCGCTGTATTTGTCATCAGCTGGGAAACACCGCAGCTCAGCTCAGGCAACAGCAAAACTGTCCAGGCCATGTTCTGCTTCAGCTATTATACAGGACTGTGGAATAGGGGGGTGCGGGGAGGGGGCAGGAAGCAGTTAATCAGTTGTTGTAATAGGGTAGCCGGTAGATAAAAGAGACAGGCAGATACAAGAGAGGGAAACACCCTTGAAAAGAAGATGTTCCT